TGAGTGGCATATGGATGCACATTTGTCTCCTTGCACACTGTGAACTGCAAAATTAGAATTTTCAGTTCACACACATTGTCAGTATATTTCCACTGTCTTGTTTGATTTGTTTAGAGTGCTGCAATACTAACAATAAACACATCTTGTATGAGTGGTGCTGAGGATGGCACATCAGATGAGGAAACCAAGCTGGGCGTGGTGGCACACACCTATAATCCTGACTTTATTTTCCTCCTCTTGACAGGGCCACTAAGGTCCCAAAATGCTCTGGGAGGCTGAGGCAGGAGAATTATAAATTCAAGGCCAGCCTCAACAATTTAGCAAGACCCTCAACAACTTAGCAAGACCCTGAATCAGCACACAAAATAAAAAGGACTAGGGATGTCCTTTTTAAAAAAAAGAAATTATTTTGAGATAGGGTCTTGCTAAGTTGTTTAGGGCCTTGCTAAAGTTTCTGAGTCTGGCTTTGAACTTGAAATCCTCTTGCCTCAGTCTCCTGAGATGTTGGGATTACAGGTGTGCATCATCATGCCTAGCTGGATTATTCAATTTTAATGAGTCTTCCTTGCATTATAATTTTGCATCATATCACTTTAATAATTAATGATTTTTAAGTAATACTGGTACAATTTTATCTTTTAAGAAAGCTTCAATGGTCACACTCCACTTTTTTTGTATGCAAGGATTATTTTTTATTCCCTTGTGTAGTTAGTCTTATAGAAAAGACAATTTTATTAACTTATCTAAAATTATGTATTTAATATTTATAAGGAGCAAAATTTGAGCTACTCACATTGAGAAAATTCAAAGCTAAAACACCATGCACATGCCTTGCCCCCTTCATATCTCTCTGGTTTCAGTCACTTGCATATCATTTTAAAGGTTATATAGCTAGTTACTCATAGATCTGGGATTGACACAGGTAGTCTGACTTCAGAGGCTAATACTGATCCTAAACTGACTCTTACATGAATTTATCAAAATGGTGTATTCTTTTTGAATTCTAAAAATGATTTCATATAGCAGTAGTGGGAATACACCATGCTTTGTGATTTCCTAGGAGTGGAATGAAGCATATAAATGGTTGTACAATAAGTGTTATGTACTATGAGAACGAATGTTTCAATAAACTGCTGTAGGAGATATATGAAGAAAAAGCATGACCCTCCAAACAAGTGGAATGTTCCACTTTAGGGCATGTGGGTGGATGTTCAAGCTGGGGAAGGAAGTATAGGAGATGTGTGAGAAAAAGTGAGAAGATAATTTTGCTGGAGCACACATTGTGTGATTACAAATGATAGAAAATAAGACTGGAATATACAATAGTGAAAACACCGAAGGAACTTTTGATAATTATTTACTGTGTTCATGACAGTAAAGAAAGGATCTGGATGGAAGCTTAAAAATCTAGAAATGTATTGCCCCATGTATTTTGAGTTTGGCAATGTGTTTTACAATGTAGTTTGAGAACTGTGTTGATTAAGCTATTTATTAAATATGCAAGGAAGTGCAACCTTGAAATTTGGGTAAACTGTCATCAGGTAGTGGCGGATATGTCAACTTCTTGGTCTGGATGATTGGACTATGAGAGAGAGCCAGCTCAGAAATGCAGCTCTTGACGTGGATAGGCTTGTGTGTACCGTGTAGAGTTACATCCATGTCCAGGTCTATGTAGGATGATTTACTGTAAACAGAGCAGCAGAATCCCTTTTGTATCTGACTTTTTTCCCCTCAAATTTAAGTATGAGCAATTGATCCAGAATTTATTCATCAGAGGTTGAATTTGCCAAAGCAGATGCTGGGTAGTGATGCACCTTGACAAAACCTCAAGTGAGTACTGCCCTAATTTACTGTCTCCTACTTTGAGTTGAAATGGCTAAGCCTTTTTCATTCCTTAGGTGAGAACTGCTCTGAGAACAGCAGACCCCAGGCAAAGTAACTTGCAACTGGCAACTGAGGCAGTCGGCAGAACAAGTGCATGGTGGAGGCTGTCTGTTGACTGCACAGCTTGGGACTAGTCATTTCATCAGTTTCAGAGGTCTCAGTCTATAGACAGCACACTCCATTCTTGGGGGGCTTGAGGTGAGGCAGAACATTATGTCGGAAGAGTGTAGCAGAGGGAAGCAGTTCACATGATGATCAGAAAGCAGAGAGAGCCACACTCCACTATTTTGAAAAAACAAAACAAAACAAAACTTGGCATAAAATCTGCAATGATTATGCAGTAAAATACTGTCAGGACAGCG